GAGCCTGGGCGCGCCTTTAACAACACTGCTCCCAACCCCTTTAAAAATCAAAATTGACTAGTGAAAAGTAATAGAACTTTATATTGTATTCAAATTGAATCATAATTGAGTACATAAGGCGCTTTATATACGGTAAGAAGATTGTAGGGGAGTGTAGTGCAAGGAAGGTGGTAGGTGAGTGCAGTGCAAGGAAGGTATCTAGTTCTATTGTATGTCTAGGTAAATCTATCATGTGTAAAATATGAAAGCGATAATCATACCTCTAATTAAGGAGTAGTAGACTATGAGTTGTACTCACGGCACTACCCCTTAAGCTGGACAATAAATGTCAACAACTCCTAGCTTGTTGCACATAGAATCGATGGCATACTTTGGAAGAACCTTAGTGAAGATATCTGCGAACTGGTTACGAGATGATATGAACAAAGTCACAATTTCTTTGGCGGTCAGCTTAGAATGATTGAAATGACAATCAAGCTCAATATGTTTGGTTTACTCATGGAAAACCAGATTACTAGCAATGTGAATAGCTGCCTGACCATCACAATAGCAAAGAGGTGGGTCTTGAACTGAAAACCCAAATTCTTGTAACAAAGTTCTTAACCAAGTTAACTCACAAGAAGAAGAAGTATGAGCTATTACATGGTACTCGCTTCAGCACTGAACTGCGCCACAACCGATGCTTCTGCACTGAACTGCGCCACAAGCGATGCTTCTTACTTTTTCAAGTTACTAGATTGCCTCCTATAAATGTAGAGTAACAGTCGTCTATCTGAAGGAGAACCTGCCCAATCAGTGCCTGAAGGAGAACCTGCCAAATCAGCATCAGGTGTAACCCTCGATACGCAGATGTCCAGATGGCTGATAGAGAAGATCACGACATGGAGCTCCTTTGACATACTTCAGAATCCGTATAATTGCGTCTATGTGAGAGATTCTTGGGTTGGCCATAAATTGACTCACAACACCGACTGCGTAGGCAATATTTGGACAAGTAGTGGTTCGGTAAATCAGCTTGCCTACAAGTCATATGCACATCTATAAATCGTCAACCAAGTCACTAACATCAGGCAATAACTTCAGATTAGTCTCCATGGGTGTTGCTGCAGGTTTAGAGCCAAGTTAACCCGTATCCTTTAAGATATCAGGAGTATATTTTCTCTGAGATAAACAGATGCCTTTCTTTGATCTCGCAACCTTATACCAAGAAAATAATGGATCTTGCCTAAGTATTTAGTGAGGAAATTGGAACCAAAATGATGAATCAACGTCTGAATCCCCTTCTTGTCACTCCCAGTAATGATGATATCAGCCATGTAAACCACCAAAATCACAATGCCACACTTTGTCTTTTTAAAAAAACCGAATGATCGGCTTGACTTCTAGTCACCATGAGCAACCACTAACTTGCTAAATTTATCAAACCATGCACGAGGTGACTGTTTGAGTCCATAAATAGACTTCTTAAGTTGACAAACACAATCCCCCTTTGGACTAAAACCCAGGAGGTTGAGCCATGTAAACTGTCTCGCTAAGATTGGCATGTAGAAAAGCATTTTTGACATTAGCTGATGTAGAGGCCGGTTAAGATTGGCAGTAAAAAAGATAATTATGCGAATAGAGTTCAGCTTAGCCATATCACTGTTGTCAATACCATTGGTCTGAGTGAAACCCTTAACAACAAGGCGAGCCTTTAAACGATCAACACTGCCATTGGGATTTCACTGTAAAAACCCAACGACAACCAACTACATGATCACCTGCATACTTTGGAAGTATATCTGAAGTATGATTGAATTGTATGGCATACACTTCCTCTTCCATAGCTTTCCATCAGCCAGGGTGGGAAGGAGTAACTTAGGAACAGTAACAGATAACAAAGATAAAGAGAGAGCTCGAAAAGAAGGTGACAGATGATTAGAAGAAACAATATGAGATATGGGATGATTAGTACAAACCCTTCTACCTTTACAAAATGCAAAGAGGAAGATCAAGATTACTCATAAGGATGAACAACCGGATCTGTAGGCATCAAGGAAGATTGTGGAGGAGGCAAGGAAGGCTCTACTCGTTAAACTGTTGGGGCAGGTGGCACAAAAGGTTCATCCTGGGCAGTGGCAAGAGTAGGAGAGGTATTCTTGTGACGTTGCCGAGTTTAAACTCTAGGTGTGGGAGGAATATTAATAACCGGAGATGGTAAGACAGTGTCTTGAAAAATAGGTTCCTTTATTTGACTACCCTTAGAATAATACGGAACAGGCACAAAAAATGTTACATCAACACACACAAAATGTTCTCACTGAATGGCTGTAGCACATATATCCTTTCTGAGTGCGAGGATAGCCCAAAAATTTGCATTTGTGAGTTGGAGGATCATGTTTATCCCATTGGATTTAAATTATATACAAAACAACGCACCCAAACGCTTTTGGAGGAAGAGAAAGGGTCTTTATCTAAAAACATAAACTGAAAAGGTGAATTTTCTTTAAGGACACGAGATGAAATTTTATTCAATAGATATGCTGTAGTAAGAATTGCTTCTTCCAAAAAATGTTTAGGTGCATTCATTTGAATTTTTAAAGCCTGGGCAATAGCAACAGTGGGTCCATTCTTTCTTCAGCAATCCCATTTTGTTGGGGAGTATCAACGCAAGTAGTTTGACGGGTAACCCCTCTGAACTCAAGAAATTGCTGAAAGAGAGAATATGTAACTTAGCAGATCTCAGCATAAAAAGATGCACATATAAAATTGAGATCAATCTTTAAGAACATATAACCAAGTCAAACAGGAATAGTCATCAATAAAGAAAGGAAACAAAATGACAGGCACCAGCCAATCCAGTAGTTTGGGTTGGACCCCACAAATCAAAGTGAACAAGTTCAAAAGGTCAGGAACTAGGTCCCTCAGTCCTAAGTTTAAAAGAAACCTTGTGATGCTTGCTAAGTTCACGTCTCACAATTAAAACTAGAAAAACTAGGTAAGGAAGGAACTAAATGCCGAAGACTCTTAGACGAAGGAGCCCAAGTCGGTAGAGCCACTGTTACGGAGAATTAGAGGTATGGAGTGCAGATGAAATAGTTGAATAAGACAAACAAATCAAAGTGAACAAGTTCAAAAGGTCAGAAACTAGGTCCATCAGTCCTAAGTTTAAAAGAAACCTTGTGATACTTGCTAAGTTCACATGTCTCACAATTAGAACTAGAAAAACTTGGTAAGGAAGGCACTAAATGCCGAAGACTCTTAGACGAAGGAGCTCAAGTCGATAGAGCCACTATTACGGAGAATTAGAGGTATGGAGTGCAGATGAAATAGTTGAATAAGACAACTTGAAGAAGAAGAGTTTGTTAGAGAGGGTACAACTTTAATATTTATATCTTTCAATACTTCCCCTAACGTGTGGCCTTCTTTTGGTCCAACACGGGTTTTCAAATTTATTTTTGATGAGATTTGAAGTCAAGACCTTTGGCTCTGATACCAAGTTAAATTTGAGGATGTAGTTATAGGAGAAGCAGAGGAAGAATAGAAGAGGTGTTTGTAAAAGGTGGGCAGTTTGTAATAGGGTTTCCCACACCTCTCACCCTATTTATATGTCAAGAAGATATAATTACAATGGTGTCCTTAATGCATAAAAGAAATAATAATAAACTCTCTAACTGAGCTCATCCTTCTCAAAGCCCCCCACCAATTATCCTCTTCGTTTTTAGATCCTCAAAGACACAATTGAGAATGATAGAATGTTATTGAGCAATTTAAGGCAGACTGGCAGAGTTAAGTTTAAGAATTGATAGCAAATTACAGGGAAATTGGTGTAGATACAAGACATAAGGGAAGGTTGGACTAGAGGTACGAGAACAAGAGACTTGTTACCATTCGTTATTGTGACCTTATCAATTATCCAAGGTGTAATGAATGAAGAATGAAGACAAGTATTACCTGAATCAACAAAAATGGTTGTGGAAGTGGATGGAGGATTAGCACTCTTGACAATTGAATCATACTTGGCCTTGGAGATAAGAACCTGTTCCTCAGTAGCATGATTAGTGTTCTCCCCCTCAACCACAACCTGATTTGCCCATGCAGGCTTGCCGTAAAATTCCCAACAATGATCAACAGAATGGTTAGTACGGCCATAGTGTGTACATGTCCTTCCACCACAAACACTTCGGCTAGGGTTTGAAGGACCGCGACCCCCTCGGCTACGTCATGAAGAGTAGCTACAAAACCGAAAAAGAGTTTTTGTTTTTTGATTTGTCACCCATGATAGTAGAGACGAGATAATTAGAGTACTAAGTTTCAAGCATGAAATCAAGAAGAATGAGACCTTTTTTTTAGGTCACCTCTTTCATAATTATAGAGAACAAGACTTTTTTTTTTTTGAACCTAAGGTTCTCGGTCATTTCTGTCTAAATGACAGAGAGAAAGGAACACAAAAGTAGAGACGTTGACTATACAATAAAAGAAAGAAAAAAATTGAGAAGAAGAAAAAGAAAAAAAAAGAAGACTGTATATTGTATGAAAAGCTTACTTTAGGTCTCTAACTTTAACCTTGAAACTCTGATAACACTTTTAAAACAATAAAACTGTATATTGTATGCAAATTGAATCATAATCGAGTACATAAGGTGCTTTATATAGGTTAGGAAAGTGGTAGGTGAGTGAGTGCAAGGAAGGTGGTAGGTGAGTGTACTGCACGGAGTGTATCTAGTCCTATTGTGTGTCTGGGTAAATACTTAATATGTAAAATTTGAAAGGAATAATCATGCCCCTAATTATGGAATAGTGGAATATGAGTTGTATTCACAAAGACTAGGATTAAGTTGGAGGTTAAGGTTCGTGCTTAGACTACACACGTGTAACTGTAATATTATATGCTCTTTTTTGGGTCTAGCGGTTGTAACCCCAATTTCGTATTGATCTTTACTCTTAATTCTTTCCTGGGTGATGCTTTTGGCTTGCACGACTTCATTAATTCTTTTCTGGGTTATGCTTTTGGCTTGCAGGATATACTTCGTCTTCTCACTTTGTGGTTCAACCATGGAGCTACTGCGGAGGTTCAAATGGCACTACAGAAAGGATTTGCACATGTTAATATCGACACATGGTTGGTTGTTTTGCCTCAGATAATTGCCAGGATACATTCAAATGATCATGCTGTTAGAGAGTTGATACAGTCACTTTTAGTCCGAATTGGGCAGAATCATCCACAGGTTTGCTTTACTTGGTTCTTTTTAATTTCCAGAATCATTATTTTGCTGTGCTTTCTTAAGCAATTTAGTGAGGGCGGACCTTGGCGCAATGGTATGGTTGTTTCATTGTGACCTGGAGGTCACACGTTCAAAATGGGAAACAGCCTCTCTGCACGCGGAGGTAAGGCTGTGTACATCTAAGCCTCCTTAGGCCCCGTAATGGCTGGAGCCTCGTGCACTGGGCTAACCATTATCTTGAGCAAATTAATCAACTAATCAATGATGTTTTGGTTTTAGAAGATTTTATTCCATTAGAGCTTTAGAGTATCTAAGTACGTCAATATCAATCACTAAAGGAAGTAATGTTCCTTGTTTTTAGTACATTCCTATTGTTCTGTGATATTTGCAGAAGCGTGAGAATGATAGAGAGGTTGGGAAAACGATGAGATTGGACGACCATAACTGGGTCTGACTGCTCGATTACATTATTATTTGATGAAGGAACTAAAATTAAATAAATAACCCTTAATATAAGTAGTACTCTCAACACTATCCCTCATTCTGGAGCATAGATTTCCATCATTCACAGCTTGTTAAATATCTTCACAAGAAAGATAAAAAAAAATGGATGTCCCCTAATGCTTTAGTATGCAGTTCACCCAACTCAATCATCAAAGACTCAATATACGCATTTAGCAAATGTGTTGGCACCTCATATTGCCGCTACACTTCTTTTTACTCTTCCAAATAATTTTCATCAATTAAATATGCAGTACCCAATAAATTGATTCCCTATCCATTCAATAGCCAACCCAGTCTGCATCAAAATTGCATACAATGTCACGGAATTATTAACCACAATATTGGACCTTTTTCTTCATTCTCCTTTGAGGAGTTTTGAAATACGACATACTGCTTCATGAGTGTTGCCTTGGTCTCTGCTTAAACTGACAACTCCTACTGCAAATAAAGGACATAGGATTGTCAACTAGTTTTGCCACCAAAAGGCCTGTCTCCTAGAATATCAGAAACAGCAGATGAGTCTCTGGGAAAGGGAGATCCCCTCTGCAAATCATGTTAACCTCTATTTCCCAAAGTGCCCAACTTACCGAGGTCTTTCTTATAAAAATGCTAACTCAAGTTAACGGCAAGATCATTGGTTCCTGTCACCGAGTGCTGTAGCACTGCGCTACTTCCTCACCTTCTAGGGTTCAAGTCCCCACCGGGGCATGTGGGTATAAGAGATTCTTACCAGGATATAAAAAATAATAACAATATTGATAAAAAGATCATTGGTGCATGTCACTTCACTCCCAATAACATAATCATCAACATATACAACAAGAAGGATAGTACAACTTGATCTTTATTGAACAATTACCGAATGATTTGTAACTCATGTTTAAGCACCATTTAACTGAATTTATTAAATCAAGCTGTGGAAGATTTTTGTGTTCATAATTTTTAGCCTTTGTACACAATATAACACATATTGGTTGATGCACGCTCTACTGTTGCATGTTGTTTTAATATGGTTGCTCCAAATATATTGTCTCAAGATTTACATATATTGATATAATCTAATTTCCACACAGGCTCTTATGTACCCTCTACTCGTGGCATGTAAATCAATAAGCAATTTACGTAGAGCTGCAGCTCAAGAAGTGGTTGACAAAGTTCGGCAGCATAGTGGCATGCTAGTGGACGAGGTGAAATAATAATAACAATGATTGTGATGATGACGACGATGATAGTAGTAATGGTTAGTTTTGCAGTATTCTTGCTGATCTAATTATTTTCTTTTGCTTGAGAAGGCACAACTTGTATCGAAGGAGTTAATCAGGGTCGCGATACTTTGGCATGAAATGTGGCATGAGGCATTGGAAGAAGCCAGTCGTTTATATTTCGGTGAACATAACATTGAAGGGATGCTAAAGGTGTTGGAGCCTTTGCATGAAATGCTTGAGGAAGGAGCCATGAGAGTCAACACTACCATAAAGGAGAAACACTTTATTGAGGTACTTTTTAATTTTCCTAAAAAAGCCTAGATATTTTCCTGTATGATTAAATGTGAGAAAACAGAATTTACAGCCCTGCATTCTTCGTCTTTCATTTTTGGATTGCATTAGTCTGAATTTATAAAATCTCACTTTTAGATTCATTGGGGCTGAACATTCAGTCTTATAAGTTATTTCTGTTGTGACTGCCTTTTTTAGCCCCATAGTCGGTCATATACCCTTAAACACCCAATCATGAATTTCTGTCTTTCAACAAATCCTGAAATCTTTCTATCTTCAAGTTCTTCATTTGAAAATTTTATCAATTTTGATATAATGTTAGTAATTCACCTTTGTGTTAACTTCAGGCGTACCGCAAAGAATTATTGGAGGCCCATGAATGTTGCATGAAATATAAGAGAACAGGAAAAGATGCTGAACTTACTCAGGTACAAGAAATATTTCTACTTGAAGAGTAAATGTTCAGTTCTTCATCTTAATTGAATTATTCCGATTTCCTTTCACAAAGAAATTGGAATATTTTTCTCACTGTTTCTTCTTTTATTACTGGTCATGATCATCATTATTATTGTTGTTCAGTTATTTGAACTCTGTTAGCCTTATTAGGATCCCTTCCTTAAGCCTTGCAGAAATTATTGTAAAGGCTGAATTTACCTGTACGCAACCTGTTCTGTGTCTCTATTTTGTTACCGTTTTCCCTCCAATAAAACTATTTCTATGTGTGTTTACTCCTTTGTCACTTATTTTCCTTAACATTTATTGTGGTGGTTTTGCTGGTCCAATAAAAAACTTCACTCACTTGGACAGATAATGTGGTTGGAGTTGACCTGCTTGTAGGTGAATTCCTTTGATTTTGGAGCCTTCGCTTCATCTTTAAATTTTGTCTTATTTTGTCTAATTTTTAGCTCTTTTCAAAACAATATTCTAGGAAATTCTTGTTAGGTATTCCAATTGTTGTTTGGTGCACCTTTATAGAGAAAAAAAAAATTGTTATTTAAATAGATGCTCTTCATCCTTTGCTCATCAGATTCTTCTCCTCCCCCCTTCTCTTACACAGTGCTTTAAGTTGTTATTTTACTCATTTAAGTATATATTTGAATCAAAACAAATACCAGGTGCTAATTTCACTTGTAGTACCTGAGATATGCCACAACAGAGTTTCCTGTCAATGTTTTGTGTTTGAACTTGCATGCATGGCCAGAGGACCCCAGTCCATGTACCTGGACTGTTCAGTTTTGACCTGTTGATGTCATGAACTGGAATTAATATATTATTATTATTATTTTTTGACCAGGCTTGGGATCTCTATTATCATGTATTCAGGCGGATAGATAAGCAGCTTCAAAGTCTCACGACTCTGGACCTAGAGGCAAGAAGCATTTTGTTTTTATATTGGATTTACACCTTTGTCTGCTGTGATGCTAACCTGTAACAATATTTGCTTTGCCAGTCTGTTTCCCCAGAATTGTTAAAGTGCCACGATTTGGAACTCGCTGTTCCTGGGACTTACCGAGCTGGTAAACTGGCTCATAGCTTGAAAAGAATCTATTCTAAGTTAAATCTCAGTTTCTTTTTTTATAACAAAATAATATGTGCACCCACTTTCTTATGACAGGCTTACCAGTGGTGACAATTGCATCATTCGCGCACCAGCTTGTTGTCATAACATCTAAACAGAGACCTCGGAAATTAACAATTCATGGGAGCAATGGAGAAGATTACGCCTTTTTGCTGAAAGGACATGAGGATTTACGCCAAGATGAACGTGTCATGCAGGTTTTCACTCTCTTGTACTTGGCTATTCGTCTTATATTGCATGCTAGTGCCTGATGCTGTTGTTCTGGTTGCTAGCATTCTGAGACATATTTTGCTTGTGGTGCCTCGGATAATATTGCTCTTAAGATTTCTTTAATATTGTTTTCAACACTTTTTCAAGCACGATTTAAACCAGATTTTACATATTTGGTCAGCTCTTTGGTTTGGTGAATACTCTGCTGGAGAATTCTAGAAATACTGCAGAAAAGGACCTTTCTATTGAACGATATTCTGTCATTCCATTATCTCCAAACAGTGGATTAATAGGCTGGGTCCCAAATTGTGACACCCTACACCAACTCATTCGGGAGTACAGAGATGCCAGAAAGGTTGCTTTTGAGTTCCTTTTACGCTTCTTTCTCTCTCTACCTCTAGAGTTTTCACTTTATTCTTACGCATGCTTCTGGTTTGTAGATCACTCTCAATCAGGAACATAAATATATGCTTAGTTTTGCTCCAGATTATGACCATTTGCCACTTATAGCTAAAGTGGAGGTATTTGAGTATGCTCTGCAAAATACTGAAGGAAATGACTTGGCAAGGGTATTCTTCTAGAACTCGAGTGCATTCTCTCTCTCTCTCTCTCTCTCTCTCTCTCTCTCTCTCTCTCCTGAGAATTTGTTTCTCTAGTTGCTTAGATTGGCTCTTTGTAGGTCCTTTGGTTAAAAAGTCGCACTTCTGAGGTCTGGCTCTACAGGAGGACAAATTACACTAGAAGTTTGGCAGTTATGAGCATGGTATATATTTTCCTCTCATATATATTTGGGCCTCTTCCTTAAAACTTGGTGGGGTCCAGCAAATCAACTTTCATTTAGCTGTTATGCATATTTGTGAGACTTCTGCACTTCTGATGTTTCAGTATCATCTGTGTACTTATCTTTCTGTGGTTAGAGGGTCCCCAAGTAGCTTGTTAGACCAATGATCGACTGAGATGTGCTTTCTAACCATTGCGTTTGTATACCTTAAATGAAATCATTTTATGACAATTCCGCTACATGGATCTTTGGTGCCTGTTTGGGCCCTATGTTAACAGGTTGGGTGATTATGCCCCCAAATTTTGGTGTAGTGTATACTGTCAGAAAATGGGAGGCCATAAATTTAGAGTAAGAATGATGAGATCTTCTCTCTAAATATCTCACGTAGATCCCATCATGTTATATGTTTATAAGAAATTTGAAGTTACTTTAGGGCAAGAAGTATAGTTAATATACTTATTTGTGTAATGTATAAGAATACTTCAATGTGTGCTAAATATTCAAAGCCCGATGCGTTTAAGTAAGTTGATCATTTATATTTGGACATTCTACTTATCTTTTTCGGTAATGTTAGCTATCCCTTGCTACTGGTCACTTAAAATGCCTCTGAATTTCCTTTTGTTTCTTCTTGTTTCATTATTGTGTTTAAATATTAATGGCACATGTTTCAGGTTGGTTACCTTCTTGGCTTAGGTGATCGACACCCAAGTAACCTTATGCTGCATCGTTCCAGGTACTTCATAGGGGTAAGATTGATTTTTGGTTAAGATTGTGAAAGCGTTCATATCAATTATGTTGTTTTACAGTGGAAAGATTCTGCACATTGATTTTGGAGACTGCTTTGAAGCTTCAATGAACAGGGAGAAGTTCCCTGAAAAGGTGCGCTGTTTCAAATACTGAATACTACCCTGCAACAAACTTCTACATTTTGTATGTTTTCTATGGAATAGATTTATTAGGTCCTCTAATGTAAAAGTCTTGGTATAGGTTCCCTTCCGCTTGACTAGAATGCTTGTGAAAGCTATGGAGGTCAGTGGTATTGAAGGCAATTTCCGTTCAACATGCGAAAATGTGATGGATGTTCTGCGTACAAATAAAGATAGTGTCATGGCTATGATGGAGGTATGCACACCAAAGTTTCTATGTTGTATCTCTATTTCACTGAGCTATTGTCAGTCTGATAACTTCAAAAAAAATTTACGAGGCATGGTTGTTTTGATAAGTTTCTCCAATTCTACTTTTTTATTGAGCTATGACTATGAGGAAATAGAACAGTTACTTTAAGATAATTGTTCTGCTTCTCATGTCACAACAAAGTGTCTGATGAGAAGGACTAACAATCAAAAGGTCCTCTTAAAATATCTGTGCGCGCCTGAAATCTTTAGGTGGTGTTGATATGAGAACTAGTGTTGGAATATCATTCTTGATAAGACCATTTTAAATTATCAAGCAACTATTTATCCTTGTAAAATATGGCTAATTTTAGTTCCACTTGGTTTCAGGCTTTTGTTCATGATCCTCTCATAAACTGGCGCCTTTTCAACTTCAATGAAGTCCCTCAAATGTCAACTTTTGCAAGCACCCACGTCCCACCAGTAGTGAACGGTGAAGAATCTGCTCAAAATAGGGAGTTTTTTCAACCTCAGCGGGGTGCTCGTGAGAGGGAACTTCTTCAGGTATTGTGGATTCATATAAAACTTTTGCATTTGTGCTGGTTAATTGTGCTAAACAGTTTCCGTGTGTTTATGTAGGCTGTCAATCAACTAGGTGATGCTAATGAGGTGTTGAATGAACGTGCTGTGGTAGTCATGGCTCGGATGAGTAATAAACTTACAGGACGTGACTTTTCGACTTCTTCAGTTCCAACCAGCTCCATCCAACATGCAATAGACCACAGTACCTTGATATCTGGAGATACTCGCGAAGTTGATCACGGTTCATCTGTTAAACTACAAGTTCAAAAACTGATTCTGCAAGCTAGATCACATGAAAATTTGTGCCAAAATTACGTCGGGTATGATTTTACAACAGATTTTTTTTCCTCCTTATCTTCTATTAAGTTTATTTCACGTGAGCGCTTCATATTTTGTTCCAAGTGTTGCCAAAGCAACTTGCCAATACCGATTTTCCATTTTGAATTTATTCTTGTAGGGTTACTTCATCACTTTAATAATTTTACGAGTTGACTATTATATTGTAGGGTAAATTGCAAAAAAAAAAATTCTCCTGATGAGCCAGACAATTGCAACAGTAAATGCTAGGCATTAAAAATTACCGATCAGGAAAATTTGTAGTTATGACTTCACAATTAATGGCCCCTAGAGAGATCAATAAACCCTATACTAAAATGAACAAGAAATCTACATGGTTCAGAGATTGCGCCACCATCGACAACGACATAGACGACTTGGTTGGTCTAGAATCAAAAGCGCACACGAACTGCTTCCGACCCAATTTTGCCTCATTTATATAATATAAAAATGGAAAAAGGGCCTGGTTAGGTACTGACCAGGCCAGGCCATGGGAATAAACTCTTTCGGACAAAATCAAAGTCTATTGCAAAGGACTCACCAAGAACAACGATAGCCTCAGCGTTGCTGGTTTCAAAAGGGCCTGGTTAGGTACTGACCAGGCCAGGCCATGGGAATAAACTCTTTCGGACAAAATCAAAGTCTATTGCAATGGACTCACCAAGAACAACGATAGCCTCAGCGTTGCTGGTTTCGCCAAAGCTCTATTCAAGTGGTTGTACTCATGCATCATGTGCTCATGATCATCATCATTGGTCACCAATATCAAAGCATCGAGATCTTTACCAAGTAACTGGTACTAGAAGAAAATGTTGGCATCACCGTGATGCAAATAATTAATAGTGTTTCTAGTCAGGATTGCGTCAGTCAATAGTGTCTTGAAAAGTGTCTATTCAAAGTCTATTAAAGGTTTAATTTATGGTATGAGAAATCTGAAAACATCATGGGAATGGTAAAAGCTGTCATTAATACTCTGGGTAGTCTAAAAGTCAGTCTAGAGAATTGAAGTGTCATTTTTAGTAGTATTATAAAAGGGACAGTCTTCTATATCTGTTGTAATCAAGTCATAAGCAATATAATTTGAGTTATTATCAGATTTTAAACAGTTCTTCAGGCTTTTCCCAGATTACCCTTTAGAAATCTAGGCTCCAACGGTGATTAGAGTTTTTCCAGACTTCCTTACTATTGTAAGAAGACTTCTGTTCTTTTCTGTTTGCTTCACACTGTGAGTGGTGAGCTTAGAGATGATGCAAGTGACAATTCGCTCCACATAGAAAGATGCAAAAAAACAAGAGTGAGAAATGGGTATCGAGGGTGAATAAGATATTTATGAGTTAGCAAAAAGTAGAGATGGATATATTAGATAGATGAAAAGAATATTTTCAACAATTCTTAAATGTGGAACATTCTAAAGAAAAAATTACATGCGGTAGAAACATAATATTGGAATAATAAATATTATCAATAATTGAGAAATAGAGGTTGCACTAGAAATGATGGGTTATAATAAAGCGTTGGCACTTGAGATATACTAATAGAAGCTTGGAGAACTCTCTGGGAAACATTGGAATTGACTGGCTAACGAACTTATTCAATAAAATTCTAAAAGAAGGAACGATGCATAATGAATGGAGAAAATGTACGATCATCCCAATATATAAATGTAAAGGTGATATATAAATTTCTTATAGATTATTGAAGAATTAAATTAATGAGTCATACAGGGAAATATTGGGAAATGATTTTGGGACAAAGATTAAAAAATGAAACCACAATGTCCGAAAACCAATTTGGATTTATGCCAGGGAGATTTACTATGGAGGCCATTTATTTATTTATTTAGGCAATTGATAGAAGAATGTAAAGTAACAATCAGATTTGCACATGGTTTTCATAAGACTTAAAACACATATATGATAGTTACAGGGGATATAATTTGGTATATGCTTTACATAGAAATAGTCACTTTAAATCTTTTGTATATTATTAAGAATATATGCGGATACAAAGACTAGAGTCTACAACATATGTGGCAAAGAACTTTCAAAATACTCTTAAGAATGCCTTAATCAATCCTTCACTTTTCCTTTTGAAAGGAGAGTACGAACCAGAGTGTTGGCGTTGAAAAAGAAACAAGAACAACGCATTCATATAATTGATTTGCAGATGTTGTTGTGGATAATAGGAGTAAATAGAAAAGATAGATTTACTAATCGAAGTGTGAAGAAGATGTTAGGAATAACGCCTATTGGTGACAAATAAGATAAAATGGAATTAGGTGGTATGGATGCATAGAATATAGACTCGTTGATGCACACAGGGTAAGAGACAGGGAGGTCGTCCAAAACTAACATGGAATGAAGTAATTAAAAATGACTCCAAAAATTAAATATTAGAGGAGACATGGTGTAATAGAATTGAATGGAAGAAGAGAATTCATATGACCGACCCCTTCATTTGGAAAAAGGGCAAAGATGATGATGAAAATGATGATAGAAGACAAAAATAGAAGTAAAGATGAATCCAGGTTATTTTGACCCCGTTTGTATTGGGATTACCATAGAGGTCACGTGGGGTAATTTTATAGAAATTCTACAATTGAAAACATCGTTAAAAGACTTTTGCGAAAAGGTTTTACCGAAAAATGTTTGGGAAAGGCCGATCATAGATGTCACACTATCTTAATCGGCTTTATTACCAGGCTCTTTGAAGTGTGAATCCTTCATCCATAAGTTGCCTTGCTAATCACCATGAGACTGGGCAAATTCCAAGATTAGGTAGGTCTTCTTTTTCAGATTCTTCGTAAATTGGTTAGAGATCATAACCCACATGGGCTTTGACAAGTGGTACCACTCTCAATTGAAGCTCGCTATTTTCTTTGGTAAATGGAGAAGTGGAGAGTTTCAAGATAAACAAATAGCTTTGATTGGGAGGGGTACCACTTGTCAAAATACCCCCCGGGATTTGGAAAGTCTCTCGTAATTTTTGCACTTACCAATTAATTTAGGTCCCATGACTTGTTTGTGCATTATTACTGTTAAATTATTAGCGGCCCTATGACAACAGGGGGTTTTGCAACAAAACGTTGTAGTTGAAATTGTTTTACTTGAAAATAGTTTTGGGGATAGGAGTGGGTGGGGTTTGCACTTTGCCCCTATTTTATATAAGTGGCTACTCTCCTACTTTACAGTTATATCCTTTCTTCTATTGGAAGTGTCATTGCATACTTGGCTTGATGACCTGTGGTGAATATATGTACAGTGTCAATTTTTCTTAAACGAGTTATATAAGACTCATGTTGTGGAGTCGGTTTTAATATCCAAAATAATGAAGATTTGGTGTTCGACATGTGTTCCGCACGGAATAAATCATTTGGATCAAATTTGATAGATATTAGACATGATAACAAACATGGTGATACCAAATGGGCAATAGCCCAGCTGGTACAAGCCCCTCCCCAAAGCATAGGTCGGGGGTTCGATCCTCCATGGAGGCGTGGGTGTGTGTGTGATTGTTTTACCTTCCAAACAAAAAACACAACTGGCATTTATGTCCTTAAAATCGGAGTTCTAGGTAACTGTCAGATGTGGAAGGGGAAAAATACTTTGTTCATTGTATAGGGTCGGATTCCTTGGTTTCGTAATGGCTTTTATTTGAAATGTCCATGTGTTTTGTTCACGAGGCTGATCATCACTTTCACTTAATACCGTTTTATTTCTACTAAATAATAAAACCACCAGGTCACTTAGGTCAAATAACAGTTTTAGTTTTACTATCAAGTTTTTTATTTGTAGATCATGTCATTGTATCGTCATGGCTTTTAAACAGAGTCCAGATCAGTAACATTGTGTGCTCGATTCAATATAAAACCTGGTTGTGTAAATTAAACCTGCTTTAACACTTAGGTTTAACTTGCTATTCAATTTTTTTTTATTTCTTTATTTTCATATTTCTTTATTATTGGGATTAACTAACTACTATTTTTTTTTTCCTTCCTTTCAGGTGGTGTCCTTTTTGGTAATTTGGGAACTACCACAGATTGTAGATATCATGTACATATCAGCAAAGTATTTGTCTTTTTTTTTTTTTGGTTATTGTTGTTCTTATTATATAGTAGCTAGGTTTGCCCTCTGTTTTTTGTTTATGTAATTTATTTATGTACAGAGACACTTCACATTAATGGAAAAATTGTGTATTCTCACAAAACATATTTAGGAAATTGTACAGAGACGCTTCATATTAATGCCTTAATGTTACACCGCTTTTATTAGCTGTTCATGCTTTCTAATTTTCAAAACGTATTGTTCGTTTTTGAAAGTTTTGGTTAGGAAAGCAACAAAAATAATTTAGATAAGAGGCTTGGAGAATTGAGCACTATATTTTTGGGAGCAAACTTGTTAAACGAAATAGAATTCCGAATCAAAAAACGTCTTAGGGTGTGTTGTGCTGCATGGAGTTGGGGAATTGGAATTTGAAGAATTTGAGAAAATTTTGGTTCAATTTTCTTATTTGTTTTTATCAAATTATACCAATTCTAATTCCAAGAGTCCAATTCAATGCAAATTCAATGCAACTGAATATACCCTTGATAACAATTAACACACCCTTGATAACAATTAACACGGAAATATGGTGTAATTAAACTTGCTTCAGCAGAAATGTGCAAAGTTAGGAGAAAACTCAAGCCTCCCGAGTAAGGGTAATGGAGAAATTAATGCCAATAGAACCAAAAACCGACCAAAAACCATGTTCACTGCATGTTTAAGCATCACTTGGCGGAGTGAAGACATTGAGGGGGAAAAAACAATGAAAAAATAAAAGCAGTAATGTGTGTGTGGGTGGGCCAGGGAAATAGATGAATGCGTTGGAACTGAGGAGGGGTAGTGGTTCTATCGCACTTTGCAAAAATTTCTGTACCCCCCAAAAATTGTTGGTGTTATACATATATCTTCATATGTGGGGTTCACATGCAATGATATATATTGAAAAGTTTTGAGGCTTATGGTATTAGCTGCTTTTTGTATTTGGTGCCCACGAAACCTTGCCTATAAATAGGCTTATTTGTGTACAGATGAAGACATATAGAAATAGAAAAAAAAAATAGCCTTCTCTCTCTCTCTCTCTCTCTCTCATATCTTTACATATTTCTTGTATCTATTTATAGTTTCAACATCATAATTCATATCACGTTATTAGCACGAGCTCTATCCATATGAGATTTGAAGAAAAAACTCTCTCTCCCTTTCTATCTCAATTATATATTTATTTTGTGATATTAATTTTGATAGATTATTGGGTTGGTTTGCTTTATCGAAGAAAATAGTATTTCTGACTCCAAAGGGTAAGAATATTTTAATTATGGATTATTATTGATAAAATAAATTTGTTCACTTAAATGATATATGTGCTCACACTATGGTCGGTTCTACCACCTTTATTATTTAATAATTTATGGCCGGTTTTACCTCCTTTATTACTTAATAATTTATCCACCATGGCTGGTTTTACCACTTTTGTTATTTAAATAATTCATATTATGTTATTATTTTATTTAATGCCATTTTATTTATTTATATACTATTCTAAATTATATTTTTATATTGTTACATCTAGTTATTATGAAAATGTCAAACTTGACAAAACTGGAATTCGTGGCCTTGAATATTTCTGGCAAAAATTATTTATCTTGGATTCTGAATGCTCAGATCCATTTAGATGCCATGGGCATTGGAAACACAATTAAAGAAGAGAATGATGCATCATTACAAGATAAAGCGAAGGCCATGATTTTCCTTCAGCGCCATATTAGTGAGGAGCTAAAAACTGAATACCTCATTGAAAGAGATCCACTGTGTTTGTGGAACAATTTGAAAGAAAGATATGATTATCAAAAAACAGTTATCCTCCCAAAGGCCCGGGCTGATTGGCAACAACTACGGTTGCAAGATTTTTAAACTATGGCTGAATATAACTCTGCCTTATTTAAAATCAGCTCTACATTGAAATTATGTGGTGATACTATTACTGATGAACTTTTGCTGGAAAAAACATTCACCACATTTCACGCCTCGAATGTGCTCTTACAACAACAATATCGAGAACGTAGATTTAAAAATATTTATAGCTGGTATCATGTTTATTTGTGGCAGAGCAAAATAATGAGCTTTTGTTAAGAAACCACCAGTCTCGTCCAACTGGATCGACACCGATCCTTGAAACCTATGTTGCCTCATCCCGTGGTCGTGGACGTGGACGTGGACATAAATGGGGTGGTAGAAATGGCTATAATAATGAATATGGTCGTGATAAAAATAACTACCACAATAATGAATATGATCGTGGTAGAAATCATTCTTATTACCGTGAAAGATATCAATCCTCACATTTTCGCAATCAGAGATCCACACCATATCCCCAAAGGAGGGATTATAATGAAATGAAACAAGTAAAAGGGAAGGATGTGGCTCAACCTCCCAAGGCAAATGATAATACTTGTTATCGGTGTGGCATGACAGGGCATTGGCAAAGCTTTTGTCTACACCTAAGCATCTAGCTGAACTTTACCAAGCCTCAATGAAAGAAAAGGGGAAACAAAAGAAAATGAATTTTCTTGATCATGATGAGCCATTTGACATCACAAATCTTGAAATGAATTTCATTAATCATGATGAGCCAGTTGACATCACAAATCTGGATGTATCAAATTTTTTTGAGGACCGTGATGGAAAGATAGACTTCCTGATTGGTGATAGAAATGTCCACACCAATTAATCCTATTTTCTTTTATGTTCTGTCTACTATGTTTTTGTTTTCTTTGTATTAAAGTTTTTATCTTCTAGTTTGTATTAAAGTTTCTTTTGTTATAAATGTTTCTTTTCTGATAAAGAAATTTGCATAAATAGGAATGGATCTGACTAGTTCCAAAATAAATAGTGAAGATATATGTCTTGCAGATAGTGGAACAACACATACAATCCTTCAAGATCAAAATTATTTTTCTTACCTAACTCTGACAGATGCTACTGTCAGTACAATATCAAGTCCCACCGACTTGATTGAAGGCTCCGGACGAGCCAACATCATTTTACCACATGGAACAAGATTACAAATCAATGATGCCTTATATTCTACAAGATCTCGGAGAAGTCTGTTGAGTTTTAAAGACTTGCGCGTAATGGGGATCATATTGAGACCGCAAATGAAAGAAATGTGTAATATCTCTACATTACTTTCATTACCTCATGCAAAAAATAGATATTAGAAAAACTCCCTATTTTCTCTTCTGGATTATACTATACAACCATTAGGACAATTGAGTCCAATGTTGTGATACATAAAAAATCTTGTGACCCAAAACTTTTTATGTTTTGGGATGATCGACTTGGTCACCCGGGGAGTACAATGATACGTTGAATTATTGAAAAGTCACATGGACACCCACTAAAGGATCAAAAAATCATCTTACCAAATAATCATCTATGCACCGCCTTCTCACAAGGTAAGTTGATTATCATACCATCCCCTTCAAAAGTCATTGTTGAATCTCCCCCATTTTTACAACGAATTTACGGGGATATATGTAGGCCGATTCATCCACATTGTGGACCATTTCGCTATTTTATGGTATTAATTGATGCCTCAACACGATGGTCACATGTTTGTCTGCTTTCTACTCGTAATGTTGCATTTGCTAGATTTCTTGCTCAAATCATCAAATTATGGGCAAACTTCCCTGATTACCCAATTAAGACGATCCGTTTTGATAATGCCGCTGAATTTACTTCTCAAGCTTTTGATAATTATTGCATGTCAGTTGGAATTAATGTTGAACATCCTGTTGCACACACTCATACTCAAAATGGTATGGCTGAATCTTTTATTAAAAGACTTCAGTTAATTGGTCGTCATTTACTTATGCGAACAAAATTACCTATTTCTGCTTGGGGTCACGCCATATTACATGCTGCATCATTAGTTCGTATACGACCAACTGCTTATCATAAGTACTCATCATTGCAAGTTGTTTTTGGTCAACAACCAAATATTTCTCACATACGAGTTTTTGGTTGTGCTGTATATGTTCCAATTGCACCACCCCAATGCACTAAAATGGGTCCTCAACGTAGACTTGGAATTTATGTTGGTTTTGATTCTCCATTTATTATTAGATATCTTGAACCCCTGACAGGTGATGTCTTTAAAACACGATTTGCTGACTGTCATTTTGATGAGGCTATTTTCCCACCATTAGGGGGAGAAAAGGAACAGCAGCAACATGATATTACTTGGAATACCTTGGAATTGTTTCATTTTTATCCTCGCACAAATCAATGTGAACGAGAAGTTCAGAGGATCATTTACTTGCAAAATGTTGCAAACCAATTACCAGATGCATTTACTGATACAAAGAAAGTAATAAAAACCCATATACCAGTTGCAAATATTCTAGCATGAATTGCTGTCCCTAAGGAACCTTCTGTCAATAATGCAGCAAATGCATCTAAAACACGCCTGAAGCGTGATAGACCAGTCGGTGTAAAAGATATTGTTCCTCGTAAGAGGAAATCACACAAAAAAGCTGGCACTCCTGAAGAGGCCACAAGAGGAGCAACAGATATTATTGATCAATCTGAGATAATAGCCTTTGATAAGGCAAAGGCTCTTGATAAGTCTCAGGTACCTAAAATTGATGAAATAATAAATATTGATGAGGCAAAGGCAACAAATGATAGTATGGCATTTGATGAGGCACATGCCGTTGATGAGGCAAAGGTACTTAAAAATGATAAGATCTCACTAAATTATGAAATGAGATGGAATAGAAATAAAATTGTTGTCGACAACATATTCTCATATGTCGTTACTCTTGATATTGATAATGAGGATCCAGAACCTCAAAACGTCGAAGAATGTCGACGAAGAAATGATTGGCCAAAATGGAAAGAAGCGATACAAACAGAGCTAAATTCATTAGCTAAACGTGAAGTATTTGGACCAGTAGTCCAGACACCTGAGGGTGTCAATCCTGTTGGATACAAATGGGTGTTTGTACGAAAGCATAATAAGAAAAATGAAATTGTGATATACAAAGCTCGACTGGTAGCTCAAGGTCTCTCACAGAGACCTGGTATTGATTATGAGGAAAAATACTCCCTTGTGATTAATGCACCTACATTTAGATTCATAATACATTTGGCACTCACAGAAAGATTGCATATGCATTTAATGGACGTGGTTACAACATATTTATATGGATCACTAGATAGTAATATTTATATGAA